ATGTTAGTATCGTTTATTAAGCACATAATTATTTATATTGCTAATGAGATGCTGGATAGTGGTATACTTCCGGGTTTACTATTAGTATACTTTTGATTTCATACTTTTACGTAGTATGATTTGTTGGAAACTATACATGTTTTACGGCGAGGGGTTACTAACTTTGATAATAGAAATGATTTTGAAAATCTTTGTTTTGACCACTCACATTTTCTATTTTTGCACCGCTCCAGGTTCTAATAGCAAAGTTCCGTATCGACAAGGACTTGTGGCACTCTCAGTTCAGATGGCTCCTTATATAGTATAATCATTATCTTACCTTACTATGCTTACTTATGCTCTGTATCATGCGAGAAATAAGTCCATACGCACTCACCGTGTATTTGTGTATATAGGCACTTTTAAGTTTAAATTTATTCACATTTTACACATTATCACCTTTTATGGCTTCGTCACCTTCTAGGTGTCGGCCAGCACAGCTTGATTCGGAATCCTAGTGGACTTTCCGGGTCGGGGTGTGTCAGTTCCGGCCCGGGCCGGGATGTGGCACAGTTCTTTTGAAAATTTGATCAAACATTTTTCCTAAAATTTTGGTTATTAATTTCAGTTTTTCACGTAAGTTCAATTTTATTTAGAATTTTAGTTTTTCATGACTTTTCCTGGACATTTCATTTTTTTTTCTTGTCCTCTTATCCCTATTTTTATGCATTTATTATCCATCTCTATGAATTTTTTTTATTGTTTGTTATAATTTTACTTCTTTTTTTTTTTGTGAATAGAATAGAATATTTATAAAAAACAATTGTCAGATTTTATTATTTAGAAGACCAACACATAATAAAGATTTGTATGATTATATAGCTATGTCTATTTACCTATAATATGGACACATTTAGTTTTATAGTGGGTTTGATTTTTTGTATTTCTCGGTACATTTGGAATGTAAATGTACCAAAAGGGTTATCTGATAGAGACATTTGGATTTGTGGTACATTTGTGATTTTTTGTTTATTTGGTCTTTTGATACATTTGGAATCTAAACGTACCAAAATGGTTCCTTGACAATGGGCATATTTGGTTTCTCTGTACATTTGAAATCTAAACGTACCAAAAGGATTAATAACATAACAATGGGTTCATTTGGTTTTATAGTACATTGGGTTTTTTTGTACATTTGGTTTCTCGGTACATTTGAAATCTAAATGTACCAAAAGTCGATACTTTTGTTTTCAAATGTACCATAAGTTTTAAGTATATCCTTTTATATATCTATATGTGAAAAAATATGTATTGAAGACTTCATATTGAGACATTTTTAATAGAAAGAGATTTTTTTTTTAAAATACTGATAATAAGGTAATGAGGAATTAGTTAATTAATTTTTTATTTTATTTTATTAAAAAAATGTCATTTGATGTGTAGAAGGGGATTGATGAAATTAAATTCTTATATTATAGGCAATTAGTTGCTAAGCTACCTTATGCCTTTATATAAATGCATTTAAATTAATGACATGAAAATTATATAAATATAAAATTATTGAGGTGACAATTGATCAATGCACCTTAATCAAATCTTTAAAGGGATGAATGTTTAATCTAACAACTATAGAAAAGATGTAGGGCATTCTAATTTTCTCTTATTTTAAGTGTAGATAGACACTTATTTATATGATATAAGTGTAGATAGACATTTATTTATATGATATAATAATAATTTATTTAAATTCGCCTAGTCCGCTTATGGTTGTAGACACTAAGCTACATTCCGCAGTCCAACTAGTACGTAGCATCTTTTAAAAACCTTTAATTAAACACAACATAACAACATATATAGTCATAATCTCTTCCTACAAATTAGGAAGGCTTCCCAAGCCAGTAGTCGCAAGTTTGTTAACAAGAGCCAGTGCATTACTGGTGATATGAGTAACTTTCGAAACCGTCTTTTGTAGCAATTTGACTTGTTTTCCTTTCTGGCCCTCAAAGCCATCCAAGCAAGTGTATCCATCAGTTAGGGCAGCACTGAGCCAGGTTTTCAGGTCCGCCATTTCCGAGTCGAATGTCGTTTTAGTAAGCGTCCTGAGAACACCGAGTGATTTGTGAAGCTCGTCGATCGCGTTCCCAAAGCACTCAATGCAGTCGGACAAAGCAACTTTGTTTCTCCCTTGCATACGACGCCTGTGCTTTTTCAGAGTTACCTGTTGAAGAATGTAACAAATCTACACGTCAGAAACTTGACAAAACAAAATACAAATATATAAGTGAACTGTTCTACTACTAATAATAGCACCAATTATTATTATTATTTTTTGATAAAACCCCGCACTTATGCATGTATTAGCAAGTGGTTAAACATCAGTTGAGAACAACCATCGGTGTTAATTAGTAGTAGGCCCACTCGTTTCTCTATGAAATTTTGACATTACCAAGTAATGAGCAGCACTCTTGGTCTCGCTCAATGAAACTGAAACCCCGGCTCGTGCCCACCTGCTAGGGCTGTTCTTGGCCGACGTCGAAAACGATGCCAGTGAGTGGATGCAAAGGTCTCGATACCTGGTCACACTGCAGGCCTCTTCAACATAGCTTTTGTTCCCTTTTCCAGATACCAATTGAGTGGAAAAACTCAGCCACATAACAGGAAAAATGAGTGACACGAAGACGTAATTCGTACAAGATGCCATTTTCATTGCTGAAGGAAAAAATATTTTAACCTGTTTAATTTTCTCTGTATATCTAGGCAAAGCTTGTAAGAAAAGGCTTGAATGGTACGATTCCTACGTCACCACAGATAAAGTATGACGAAGAACTGAAGAGCGTTAAATCGGAGAAGATGGTGAAATCTGAGAGGGTTGAGCTAGCTTATTATACAGGGTCCCAGAGTGTGGGAACTTTTTTCATAGGCGAGAGGCTGATGATTGCAATAAAAATGCCAACTGGAAAGAGAGGGGATATGATTGATGAGCAGAAATCTTAGGTTGAAATGGTGAAAATCATGTGAAGGGGCTGCAGGGAATATTATTATGATTAATAGGATCTTATATTTCGGTTTTTTTCTAGTATTTTAACTGTTAAATTCATCGTATCTATGATCAAAATTAAAGAATGAAAAACTTCGGAACAAAGAATTAGAATAGTACTTCAGAGCATAACAGAATGTTCGTATATTAATTTAGACTACAAGAAGTTAGATTGATTAATATGAAAACAAATAAAGGTAAATATTCCAAGGGATTTAAATTTTAGCAGCCACATAAAGTGAGGTTACGGAGATTATGTTGAATATAAAGTTCTAATAGTATGTGGTTAAGTTGGGACAATATCTATGTAGTTAGGAGTAGATTATTGATCCGTCTCTCTAAATATCTGATTGGTTTAGTTCAAATGAATCAGAACAATTAGTCTTATTTCACGTGGATAAATTAATTTAGATCTTTCATAAAAAATGTTTTGTTCTACGTATCATTATCACACTCCCTATCATTACATTTTTCTCTTTTTCCTCATGATAGCCAAAGCTCGAGCCAAACCCTTTTCTTCCACAACTTCCCTCGTTTATTTAGTTTCCTTTGGCACTTGGTATCAATTATCTTTTCATATCACATGCAGATGAGTACTTTTTTGGTTGGATTGTTGCAACGATACACTGCGTTATTAATGTGCTCATGTAATAAATGTTACATTGTATTAATGTACTCATGTTATAAAACATGTTATCACCGGATTTAAAATTTCTCAAATAAATGTACCATGTCGATTTCATTATTATTGATAATATGAAGACCCTTTTAATTAAAATGGTCCATGAGATTGATATAACTCCTTATTTTGGTCTCTGACAATAAAATTTATAGAAGTGATCCTTGAGTTTGTCTACCAAAAACCATTTTGGTCATTCTGTAAACATCTGCTAATATTCTCGTTAGATTGTCAAGTGAACAAGCACGTAACCACATTTTTAAGCGAATTTTTTGTCAAACCAATCTCTCTATTTAACGAGGATATTGACATATTTTTTATGGAATAACCAAAATGATTTATAATGGACAAACTTAGGGATCACTTCTATCAGTTTTCATTGTCAGAGACCAAAGCAAATAGTTACGCCAATCTCACAGACTATTTTGTCTAAAAACCACAATATAAAAGTTAGATTAAATTGTAGCAATGGTCCCTCAACTTTAATTAAATTGGAGCAATGATCCATCAACTAAAAATTCATTACCATTGGTCCCTTAACTCATCAAAATGTGTAGCTATGGTCCTTTTCGTCAACTTCGTAAGAATTTTGGCAAAATGAGTTATGTTGGAAATACCATTACTACAATTGGAGTCCCTCAACTCATTAAAACATGTAGCTATGGTCTTTTTCATTAACTTTGTCAGAATTTTGTTAAAATGACTTATATTGGAATGACCATTACTACAATTGGGTTAAAGTTGACGGACATTTGCTCTAATTGGATTAAAATTGAGGGACCATTTCTCCAGTTAAATTAAAGTTAAGGAACCAATGATAATGAATTTTTAGTTGAGAGACCATAGCTGCATGTTTTGATGAGTTGAGGAACCAATGGTAATGGATTTTTAGTTGAGGGACCATTTCTCCAATTGGGTCAAAATTAAAAGACCATTACTACAATTTACTCTAAAAGTTAAGCACACAATTCTATCTCAGGCCACTCCAAGGGATTTAAGACCTAGGATTGAATTAAGGGGAAACTAATGAAAAGGATTTGAAAACTTTGAGTTTTAACAATAATAACAAAATAAAGGGTAAAGTAAATAGTATCAGGATTGATTTTTTAATGTAAAAATGTAATGTAATTTTTCATTAAAATGAACAGTATCAGGAACTTTTTGTTAAAGTTCCCTTCAATTAAAAGGCAAGCCACATCACTTTTTATGGGACCAAACTTAGGGTTGCTTACATTATAGGCCGAAGCAGCCCAACCAAACCCAACGCTCCTAAGGTACCCAACGACGTCGTTGCATCTTGATTTCCTTGGTATGATTCAACGGTTCGGATGCGCCTAATAAACAACCTAATTTGCCTCGCGCATCCTCGTCGCTGTTTCTCCTCAGTCATCACCTTCCTTCGTCTAAAACCTCACACAGAGACCGAGCTCCCCCAAAACCCTAAACGCCCAAAGGTAATTTTGTTTAATTTTTCAATTAGTTTTAATTATTTGACGAATCCCTAGCATAAATTCACTCTCTCTGTGCTCTAAATGCGTATAATTATTTTTGTTTTAATTTTTTGCAGTATTAATCACAAAGATACGAAGCTGAAATTGCAAACGCTGAAACTCAATATTCTTGAAATCCATGGCTCGCTTCAAAAATGTAAGCTTGAAATTTTGAGGTTCTGTTTGGATGTCGAGAAAATTGAATGAAATAGGTTTTTTGTTTGTTGTTAATTTTCTCGGAAACGTAGTTGATTGTTGTGTTTTTGAAAATTTGAAAACAGAAGAAGAAGGTGTTTGTGAAGCCGGTTTCGACGAAGAAGCAGGCTAATGTGGACCATATCACAGGGGATAAAATCCCAAGGAGCTTTGTGTTTTCCAGATGCAAGTTGCCTGGTCCTCTGAGGCAGCTTCAAGCTGATTTGAGGAAGCTCATGCTTCCCTACACTGCCCTTAAGCTTAAGGTATGCAAATATTCGTTCCGTCTTTATATATATTTCGCAATGCTTTATGATATTTGATTTGTTTAAATTTCAATTGATTTGAAGAGCTGATGAAAATGAGAAGTAAGAATGAAGTAAAGAGCTGAGCTTTTTCCGCAATGTTTTTGCAGGAGAAGAGGCGGAACAATCTTAGAGACTTTCTGAATGTAGCCGGGCCTATGGGGGTTACACATTTCCTCATGTTGTCGAAAACTCCAACTGCACCATACCTTAGGGTTGCGAGGACACCTCAAGGCCCAACGCTTACATTTAAGATACAGGAGTATTCTTTGGCGGTTGATATTGCGCGGTCTCAAAAGCGTCCTAGATGCCCGGCAGATCTTTTTAAGAATGCCCCCTTGGTAATCTTACATGTCTATCACAATATGCAAGAAAGAAAAGTAGACTGAAATGCCCCTTTATCTCTTTCATTCTCGAATGGAAGTTTAGTTAATGCATAATCAGTTGAAATCTGCTTAGGCAAATTCAGCTAGTTTAAAGTTTCATGAAAAGGTATCATAAAATGGGTTCTAACGAACACTGTTTTTCATTTCGTAGATTGTTCTTTCTGGTTTTGGGACTGGAGAGCAACATTTGAAGCTCACAACGATACTGTTTCAGAACATCTTTCCAGCCATTGATGTTAACACTGTAAGTCCACGAAATGATACCAACCAGTTGTCGGATTAAAAAGGATTTATGTTCCCCGCTGAGTGTGGTCTTGCTGTGAATGTTTCAGGTGAAACTTTCTTCATGCCAAAGAATAGTGTTGCTTAATTACAACAAGGACACAAAACTGATTGATTTCCGGCATTACTCCATAAGATTACAGCCTGTGGGTGTCTCCCAGAGATTAAGAAGATTTGTTCAGAACCATCAAGTCCCTGATCTAAGAAATCTTCAAGACGTGAGTGACTTTGTCACAAAGTAAGCCTCCCCCCCAATTTCCTTTCCCCCGCTCTCTCTAATTTTTTAGTTATTTAGTTTTCTATTATTGGGTTTGCATTTTGAAAGTGGATTAAACTTGATCTTTTATCTTATTCCGAAGGGCTGGTTACGGATCAGAAAGTGAAGCAGATGATGAGGCAGCGACGGTGACTTTGGCTAATGATCTAGGTAGGGTTAATCGGGCTTCCTCTAAAAGTGCCGTCAAGCTTCAAGAGATAGGACCCAGAATGACTCTTCAACTCATGAAGATTGAGGAAGGTTTGTGCACCGGTGGAGTCATCTTCAGTGAATATGGTACGTTAATCTTATCCTGTCGCACATTTCTTGTGATTTTGACAGAGTCTGCACTATGACATTATGATTAAGAGAAGACGAGTGACAATTATATGCTTATGCTTTTCTTTGATTAGGAAATGGCGATGGGAAGAAAAAGGAAGACAACCATGAAGATGAGGAAAACGATGACGAAGATGAAGAAATTGATGATGAAGATGAGGAAAATGATGAAGAAGATGGTGAAGATATCGACGAAGACTAACAATTTCAGAAGCTGTCTTTCCTGTTATACGTTGATATTCCGTTTGTAATCGTCAACAATTTGAGTGTTTGCAGTCTATTAAAAGACTGAAATTTTGATGCACCCATCAATACATATGTTTTGAGGATCCAATCACTTCACATTACTTCTTTCATTTGCAATTGCATTGTTTGCTTTCTGCAATTTAGTCTTTTTGATTGGTTCAACTCATTTGATGGATTGGCAAGGATGAAAATCCAAAACTGCGCACAAAGAATACCGGTTACAAATTTAATCGAAAACGAACAAAATTGTTCAACAACAATGGTTCAACTTCACTTAATTCTTGAAAACTTGGTAGCAATCAAATGGAACAAAACCCCCAAAAGCACCTGAACCCTCAAAAAACCAGTAAGCACGCCGCCATAAACTTGCAGAAACCATTGCTCAAGTCAAGACTTGGTGCGAAGAAGCTCTTCGGAAGGAACCTCAAGTGTTGCTCCCGCATGATCTTTATCCGGCTTCACTTCTGCAAAATTCAATAAGAGTTTGAACGTTGAACAAATCTCTTTGGAATGCTGTTGATGACAGAAGCAAACACATTATGTACAACTCACCAATCTCAACATCCCGGGTCTCTGTCGCGGTATCCCAAGTCAAGCACGCGATCTGGCATATGAAAAACTAGTATGCGAGAAAGGTAGCGTGAATGACTCGAGATACCGCTGTAATGACATCGGGTGTACCAACATTTCTCTCCTCAATCATTCCTTATACTAACTTACTAATGCCATTTTATTGGAGCTTCACTGAAGCAAAAAGCAAATCAGATTTCGGCACCACAACAAAAACCAATCACTGAAATTTAACAGAAAATGCACACCAAAGCAGCCCACACAAGCATTTTAACAAACACATTCAAGGCACTCAAACGCCATCGATTCTTCTCCAACACGTACTTCCCACAACTTCAACAACGGAACGGATTTACGAGAGAGATGAATTGGAAGTGAAGATTTACCGTAACCGCCGCGGGAATTGAGCTTGGCCTGGACGATCATTTCGCTGACGAAACGGGAGGCCTCGCCTGCCTGTTCCAGGAGACTCTGGATCTCCGCGTCTGACGTCACGTGCCTGCTCTCTTCGAACTTCTTGCGGACCTCCGCCGCCGCGCCGTTCAGCATCGTCACGTCTCCGGCGAAGGACTTCCGCGTCGCTCGTAGCAAAGCTTTGTACGCGTTCAGTACTTGTGCTCTCGCCATCTCAGACTCTCAGCTCCGCCCCTTAGTCCTCTCTCCCTGCCGTCGGGCCGTCTTTTGCTCTAGTCGTACTATCTCCAAAGCACGATGTCGTTTTTGTCAATTTTTACTTTTCTATTCTTTCAAATTTAGTTAATATGATGGCCTATTTCAGTGAAGCTGCTTTCCTTTTGGGCCGGCCGGCAAGTGTTAGTATGTACGGTCCATTTATTTTTTTTTTATTAATATGAGAGGGATCGCACCACCTATTGTTGGCAGACGTATCTTACATTTACCTTCTGTAACATTAGTGTGTTAGACAAATACTTAAATTTTAATTAACCATCAAATGCGTTTTATATTTTTTCATTATAAAAAGACAAGAGTTTACAGCTCGTCGTATACTTAAACTAACCAAATTTTTAACTGGTAATTTTTTAGCGTTGTTATAACACTCGTATCTGGATTGAGTATGTTATGGAACATTGCCAATTAGTTTTTAGGGTATATCCAGTATAGTTGCTCACATTCTAACGTCAAAGAGTAATGTTATCAAAACCGCTTATAACAATGTTGGCAAAAATATAAAAGCATCTCCAATGGGAACCCTAAATGGAGTTCCTACAACAGTATAGTCTTTACATTTAGAGACAAAAGGCTACCAATGAGTCAGAATAGAAGTCCTTAAAGTATCTCAATATATGAACTCGACGGATACCTTAAAGAAATCCTCAAATGCGAGGATTGTATGTATAGACTCAAAGAGTAGGCCCATTGTTGATTTCAAGTGGGAAACAACGCCACCCACATGAGAATGCCTTATCTTTTCAGAATTTTTCTCTTTTTGAGAATGTTATACAATAGCTTTTCTTTTTAGTTTTTTGTATTTTTATGTAGTTTTTCTCTTCCAAACATAGAAATAACATTTTGGTTTTTATCAACAACCACAATACTCCAACGAAATATTCCCTCAAAGTTATCCAGAAGCTAGAAGACATAGGTGATGACTATGCACGGTTCTAACTTTCTAACTTTTGTTTGACCAAAAGGAAGAAGGGACTCAAGAAAGCAGAATCACAGTCAGCCACGTGTGCGGGCAAAGATTGTGACCGATCTTCATGTAACCTTACGTTGCCTTCATTCCCTACAAGCTCAGACCACATTGAAAACAAATGCCAATAGGAGTCCTAATAATGACATCAATTTATATCGTATTGGTACACCGTTATTCTAGTTTATCCAAATTGAAAGGGATCATTTCCGGATTCCTTCTATCAAATCCACAAAGATCATAAATTCAGACCTTTGAAATTTGATCAAATAGCTACAAACAGGAGTTCACTTTAAAAATTATAATAACTTTAGCCATTGGATCAACTTTCAAAGGCCCGAATTTGTGGCCTTGGTGGACTTGGTGGAAGGGATCCGGAGATGATCCTTTTCCTATTTGAATACCGTCACGTTTCGTTACAGAAGGATCCTTTCCTGATCCTTTCCACCAAATCCACAAAGACCACAAATCCGGGTCTTTGAAATTTGATCAAACAGCAACAAACAGTGGTTCACTTTAAAAGTTACAATAACTTTAACCGTTGGATCAAATTTCAAAGCCCCGCATTTGTGGCCTTGGTGGACTTGGTGGACTTGGTGGACTTGGTGGACTTGGTGGAAGGGATCCAGAGAGGTTCCCTTTCCTATCCGAATATTGTCACGTTTCGTTACAGTTGTATTTCAATTTTTGTTGGTGACGGTGCAAATGACGTTGGCATGCTTCAAGAAGCTGATATTGGAGTTGGCATTAGTGGTGTTGAAGGGATGTAGGTAACTTTATTTTCTCTTTGTGATGATCGGACGATTACAGGGTTTTTACGAATTTCAAGATCCAAAGTCGGAATTATCGCACTTTTGAAAGTAAGATATATAATATATACAAGATATATATTATATTCATGTTCTAGAAAATGTTTGTGGGCTTGGGCATGAGTTTGAGCTGCGTCTCCCTGCGTCTAAACCATTAATTTTATTTTATTTTTTAGTTTTTGTTTTTTCCCATACCACAACACCAAACTATCATCTTCATGTTCTAGAAAATGTGTTTTTAATGAAAATTTTCTTATAATCCATGTCAAAAAATCTGAAAACAAGGATAGAAATCTTAATCTAAAGGAATTTCAATCTAAATAAAGTAATGTAGGAAGAAAAAATATTCAATGGAAAAAGAAAAAAGGTGAAAAAAATAGAAAAATATACGATCGGTACTTTGGTACTGATTCTTAACAGTATCAGTTGCTAGTGTGGTAGCGACAATATTGCTAGTATGTTAGCGACAATACTCAGATTAAGTCGGTATCTTCTTACCGATCCCCCCATTTTATTTTTTTTTCTTTTTCAGTTTTTTTTTCTTTTATTTCTCTTACCATAATAACAAACTATAATTTTCATGTTCTTCAAAATATATTCTTCTGTACAAAACCTATTATAATTCATATTTAAACACTTGAAATCAACGATTTAAAACCTATATTTAAAGATACTTTTTGTAATTTTCAACTTTAAGAATCAATAAAAAATAGTTTTGAAACCTAATAAACGGTAGAATCACGTCCAAACATCTTGCAATATTTTCCTTAACTCCGAGACAAAATATTTTTTAAAGCTAAAAATTTCAATTTTTTCCGTAACAATTTTCCAATCGATTTTAAGAACTTTTACAACATTCGTTGTAATCCAAAGTTAGAGTTGTCTACTCGCACCACATATTTCCTAAAATTAATTTAGGACATTCCCAAGATTTCAGACACCGACAAATCCTTTTTGGGGCCCCACTATTAGTTTTCATTAATTTTTTTTTCTATTTTGAACTTTAAAAAGTTAATAAAAAATAATTTTGGGACCTAATAAAGGATAAAATGTAACGACCCGTCCCAAAAAATTATGGTTTTTATAATTTTAAAATGTGAAATTAAGAAAAATTCCCTTCAAGGCAAAGACATTGACTTTTGTTGACCGCCTTGTCTTGTCACGTTAGAATCATTTTCTTGGTGTATTTAGATAGTACTCGTCGCTAAGAACACGTGGACGTGAGCAGAACGTAATTTGGAGCTATAACGAAGGAGTTATTAACGAACGATGTCAAGGACAAAATTGTCAATTGATTATTTTTTGGAATGCTCCAGATTTTTGGAGCAAAATCTGGAATGCCACATGTGTAGCCCGGATTAATGGAAAGAAGGAAATGGATGGTGGAGATGCAAAGGAAAGATGATAAAGGAGGGTGGGCGCTACCCAGTCAGGAGAGAGGAGAAGAAAGGGGGACCAATGGGAGAAGAGAGAAATGAGGGGAAATGAGAGGGAAGAGGTGCACCGGATCACCTTGATCTGTTTCCAACCAACCAACCTGGTTCCTTGACCCAGTCATATCTCTTCCGTCCGACGTATGTTTGAGGTGATTTCGGTGTCTATGGAAAGCTCTCGGCAAATCCAACGTCCCACTAGTGTTGGATTTTTAAATTTCTAACTCAATGTTATAGATCTAAGTCACAAAACCCACCGTTGTCCAGACGATTTTCTCCCTTTTTCAATGATTCTGACAACGATTACCGTCGACACCACCACCAATGGATTCCCCTCAACCTCAGGAACAAAGCCCATGCATTGGTTGAGGTGTCGGAGCTTGTTTGGAGTCAAATCAAGAACCACCCATTTCTAGGATTCCAAATGGTTTTAGTGAAATTGGGGTTTTTCTTGACCAAATTGGTCTTAGTCACAAGTATGAAAGTTGTTCCTCTCATTGAGATCTTCATTCTTGTAAAATTTAGGAATTGTTGGACTTGTTGGATTTTTCGGCGAGTCGGGGCTGCTGACCGCCACGCGCGACAGCGCGTGGGGGAGAAAACCTGAGGTCATTCCTTAGGTTTTTTTACTTGCCGGACTGAATCCACCCTCCATTTTCCAAATTCGACTGTTTCAAAATAGTTTCTTTATTAGCCGTACTTTGTATGAAAACGCATTTATATATTAGTACGTTGCGTATTTACCTAAATGGTTTCGTTTCTACGCGAAATGCATTGTAAGGATTCTCGATGCTACAAGGCGGGTTTGACTGGCGACATGATTTGTGAGTGGGCATTTGTTTATATATATATATATATATATATATGCATAAAACTTTGTGGTTGCCAAAAACGTTTTTAAAATTGATTTATGCATAGCAGGCCATGGTTTGATTGAGTTATATCGAAATATGCATTATTATGAATTGTGATTATGCCACATGATCCTACGGGAGGTGCAGGTAAGTTCAGGTGAGTTATGTGTGATTGAAATGGTTGCATTATATTAGCATGCATATATTCATTTAGAGTTTATCATTGCTGCACCCCGGTGTTAGTGCTCCCACCCCGGGCCAGGGCTAGCCTTCACGTGATGTTCACCTCTTACACCGTACGCTCACCTTGGATCCAAGTAGGTGCTAGCCTATCGTACAGGTCGCATTAGGCGACTCCGACTCGTAGATGACCCGCGCATAGCGCCAGCTTCATGTGATCGTAGCACTAAAGCATATAATATTACACATAGCCTGTTGTACAGGTCACATTAGGTGACTCCGACTCGTGTGCTAGCATAGACTGATGAACAATAGGTCCAGTCGAACATGTCACATTAGGTGACTCCGACTAGCATGATTGTTTAGATTGATTCACACTTGACTTACATTTATTATTGCTGAGATACCATGGCATGGCATGCTTTTATTGTGCACTGATTTTCATACTTACGTAGTATTATTTTCTTGAAACTATACGGGTTTTACGGAGAAGGGTTAGTACTTTTGGGAAAAGAGAAATGTGTTTTCTAAAGTTTTGTTTTTGCCCACTCACCTTTCTGTTTTTCGCCTCTCCAGGTTTTAGTAGCTAAGCTTCCGTATCGACGAGGATTCTTGGCATATCCCATTATAGGTGACTACCTATGATGGTATAATCTTTATCTTACCTTACTGTGCTTTACTTATACTCTATAATCACGTGTGAAATGGGTTCATTTCTGATCACATCGCACTCTTATAACTAGTCACTTTTAGGTTTAAATTTATTCATATTTTCCACATCACTACACTTTATGGCTTCGTCACCTTCCAGGTGTCGGCCAG